CACTCTTTCAGCGGATTCCATGCTCCCTTTTCAGGAATTCTAGGAAAGAACAGAGAGATGACAGTAGAAACAGCTTCTAATCTGGAACTCTACCACACATTCCTAATCTACCAGTTGGAAATCCTAATAAAAAAGATTCCTAAAGGGGGGAAATAGAGAGTCAGCTGGCTAATCCAACACCCAAAATTTGTCAGACTGATCTAGATAATGGCTAGACTCCTTCCAAAATGCTTGCTATATATTTGAATTATTTCCTTGCCAAATATGCATTCTCATTTTATTTTAAAATTGTGAATGTGACAAAAGAGGCACAAATAAGTCAAACAACTGCTGAGTAAAATACAAGTAACGTAGACTAAACAAGCTGTCAAATATCCATCAGTAATCAGCTGAGCAAGAGATAACTTCAGCAGTATCTATTTCAACTGGCTGATATATGTAAAACAACCAAATCATTTAGTTTCTGCAGAATTAATGTGAAAAAATGTAAATAAAGCATTGTATTTCAATGTGTAGTGTCCTTGGAAAATAAAACTTGAATTTAAGAAAATATTTATTAGGGTAAATTTTAAAAATGTGCTTTTGTGGGGGAAAAAAGAGTATTTTCTTGGCCACTGATTTAAACTGGAATTTAAATCAATTTATTTTAAATCTAATTAACCTAGAGTAGACACTAAATCATAGAGTGAAGGTAATAATTATTCTAATGGGGAATATCCAGTTTGTGACATATTCACAGTCTTACTGTATGATATTATTAAGAACGGCAGCAAGACAGCAGCCATTCACTGACACTCTCATAAACTATACTTTTAGATACTTGGCAAGTTTATAAGTACCCACAATGAGTCTTAAAAATCTCTTAACTACTTTACCAGAGAGAATCTTTCTGAAATGAAAAATAAATTTAAGACTTGAAAGGTAAGGGCGCACTTGGGTAAGTCATTTAATAAACCTTGGCCCTGGTTTCATCATCTGGCAAAAATAGAACACTAATACAGCTGTCACAAAGCTTTTACTATTTTTCTCCAAGCACTGAAATTAAAATTAAATGAAATTTAATACTCAATGTGCATATAACGAAAACTTTTTCAATGTAAACATTTTGAAACTATAAACATACTACATGAACAATGACTATTATTTTATAAAACCTCAGAAAGAATTCCAGGGAAAAAAAGAAATGATCGGCTATATAAGATTGAATTAAACATCTGTATTAGGTACTTTAAGGCACTGTGTAAAGATTTCTAGAAAGTCACTTTAGATATAAGCAATGATGTGGTATTCAGTTAGTTTTACTTGGTTCCTTCAAAATAGCACAGCATTCAACTTTCTTTGTGTTCAATTCTTTTAAGTATTTCAAAGACTTCCACTCTTTTGGGGTGCCTATGTTATTTAAACTTTCACATATTCCCCCCTCATTCTCTCCTCATTCAGCCTTTAACAACCTCCCTCTCCTACTGTACACATTGTACCCTGTGAAATCAAGTTTCTTGGTGTAAAAACTTTTGTTACTCCAATTCTAACTCTCTCATTTTCTCCCCAGTGATGGTGAACTTTTTGAGCTCAGCGTGTCAGCATTTTGAAAAACCCTAACTTAACTCTGGTGCTGTGTCACATTTAGAAATTTTTTGATATTTGCAACCATAGTAAAACAAAGATTTATATTTTTGATATTTATTTTATATATTTAAATGCCATTTAACAAAGAAAAATCAACCAAAAGAATGAGTTCACGTGTCACCTCTGACATGCGTGTCATAGGTTCGCCATCAATGTCTACTCCTTACTTTCTCTCTTCATCTGAAATTTGACAGTCTCTTTAAAGAGAATGAATCCCTTTTTCTCCCTTGTGTTATACAATCTCACTCTTCATGATTTTTTACTCCTCAGGTCTTATGGAAATAAAGTCATATGTAGGCTGATCTTTCTTTGATTCCATAGATTACTTCCAAAAGAAGCTATCGCTCAATTTGCATCTAACCACTTGAAGTCCGTGTCATCTCCTCCTACTGCCTTTTCCAAACACAGCTATGCTGGATTCACCTATCTGAGCAATTTCCACATGTGAGATGAAATTCTTCCTTTCCATCCTCCATTGCCATTATTTTTATAACTTGCTAAACTTTCCATTGTGATCTAGAGACATTAATATCTAAATGAACTAATCAGTAATGCCTCTTTTTGAAATCACCCTTTTTAAAGACAGAATTTGATTGTCATCTATTCAGAGTTCTCCCTGATCCTCAGAGCTAAAAAAGATATTTTCTTCCAAAAGCATGTTATTATTTCAATTATACTACCCATATGCTAATGTTACATGCTATTCTGTATTACAGTTGTTTATAACCTAGCCTTCTCTCTCTTACTAGCCAAAAAAGTCCTTTAGCACAAAGATTGTCTTATTCATCATAGGGTTTGCAGATAATAGAGCTTAATTTGTACAGTGAATGAACAAGTCTATAGTTGGAGATAAAAGGTTATAAAATAAAAAACCTGATCTAGATCTTTTATAAAAGTTTTAAAATCTTAGTCTTAAATATGTTTCAACTTCCAAACCAGAATGGAGAAAAAGAGAAATTTATTCTAGCTCAAAATGACAATAATTTCTTTTCTAGGACAAAGAATATTAAAGAATGCATATTTAAAAGTGGAATGCTTTGAGATCTTCCATAGTCTCTTGTTTGATAAACACTACACATTCTTTAGCCCCTCCCCCTCTTAAAAGTAATCTTTTAAAAAATTTCTATTGAATTTTTTTCAATTTTTGGGGGGTGACACTGATCAATATCATAGGCAGTCTTTTATCTCAAAGATTTCCAGAGATGGAAGACAGACTATTTCAAAGATGGAAAATATAATTGCATACAAATTCTTTCACATTTAAATAAAACCCACTCCTTTTAATTTCCACTCATGGAGATAAACAAAACATAACTTTAAAATGTTTTAAAGATAACTTTAAAAGAAAAGCTACTTTATATGTATAAACAATATGGTAACTGAGTATTATTACTTATGGATCATAAGTACCCTACCTACACAAGGAAATACCCTATTGTTAGGGTTATAGGTAACCAACTCGGAATAAAGTCTGGGAATCTTGTATAAAATGCTAACATACATTATTATAACACTAAACTCATTTCAATTGTTACTTTATAATATATATACAATAGAACAGATACTTTAATAGATGTATACTATGATATTTGCAGAAATATATATACCTACATATAAATATATATATTACTAGATGCATTTAAAAAATATTAATGTGAAATGGGTCATCATTCTAAAGTTAAGAGCTTTAAAGTCTTTCCTAAAATGTTATATTCAGCGATCTATTGAGAATTCATAACCTAGTTTCCCATTCAGGTTTTTTATACTGATCAATTAAAAAATGAAAAAAAATAAGTTACTTTATTTTTTATTGTTTCTTAACAAGTTGATCAGGCTTTGTTAAAATTTAATCAATTTCTACAAAAAATTTTCTTTATATCTTGAAATTACTAAAAGTTAAGTTGTGTGGACACATGGGCTATGAAATTTGAAAAATACATCTTATAACAATGCTATAGAAGCTGGGAAATGTGAGTATGCAAGAGATGAATTACTAATATACAGGGTGGGGCAAAAGTAGGTTTACAGTTGTTTGTATGGAAAATAGAATGATTAATAAATAATAATATAAGAATAAACTGTATTTTGCATGCTCACAACTGTAAACCTAATTTTATCCAATGCTGTATATGATATACTAGTATGTAGAAATGGAGGCAGGAAGGCATTTAGGTACCAAGTAACTATTCTCCCCACCTAGAGACCACCAAATTCAATACACTAAAATATGACCATGGTGTTGTGCAATCAGCAAGGGCAGTGTAGCCCTAAATGAGCACATGACATTCAGAAAGATCTACTGTTCAAAAATTTCTCTAACATTCTACCAAATAAAAATTCATTTGTTTAGTAAGTGGCAAATGTCATGGGAGTTGGGAAGGGGGACTTAGCCCATTAAGGCATTCGTACTTTGTCTTAAATTACATTAACCACTGTTCCTAAAATCTTATTGATATCTACAGACATCAAAAATTTATTTACAGAGGCAACAGACAAAAGCGGTACAATGGCAATAAAGACATGAGTTAGAATTCTGACTCTGCCACTTAAAATTTACCATGTTCTTGATCCAATTATTTAATTTTTGTGAATCTCAATTTCTCTGCTCCATCTCACAGCATGGTTGTAATGATTAAACTGAGAAAAGACATGCAATAAACTTCTTCTTCCAACCTAATAACTGTTATTATCTGTAAACTTAAGAAAAATGAGCAGTGGGCACAAAAGAGGAATGTAGGCGTGGGAGGGCACAATGGCAGAGGACCACAGAGAGCCAGAAGGTCAATGAAATCCCTAGATGAATAGAGGACACCAAAGTAGTAGTTGTAAGAAATTGAAGCAGAGAAAATGAAGAAAATAAAGTGTCCTAACTATGCAACAAAATGATAACATGTAAATTAAATGCTGATAACAATATATAAACATGTATATAATTAGTGATGAAACTTGAATGTATGTAATTGCAGGATGTAAATACACATCTTAGTCATTGCTAAATAGATTTTCTGTTTATTTTGAAGACATACTTGAATTACAGTAAAATGTCAACCTACAAGCTAATAGTCAAGTTTTAGACCCTGGCCAATCTTCCAGAGCCTTCTGTTTAAAAGAAAGTTTTCCCAACCTTCTTGTTAGTCTTATATACGTATGGGAATTAACTGCCTTAGCTCCAACCAAATTAACCAGTAACTACTTATATGGAACTCAAATCTCCCAGAACCTGTACTGCCAAATATACTACCCTTATTACATAGTCTAGCCCACCTGTAATCCTTTTAAGACAAAACACACCTTGCCTATTCTACCATTTACTATTCCCTTACCTTTAAATAAGGTCATTATATTTCAAAAGAGAGGCTATCTTTTAAGGTTTTGCTCAAATTCATCATCCACTTAATAGATTATGCCCTCACCATGTACCAAGGACAGTTCAGATCCTAGAGACACAACAGTAGAAAACACATGATTGCTGCCCTCCAAGTGTTCCAGGTCCAGTGTGGAAACCATTTCTACCTGCCTCTGTTCAAAGTGAACTTTTCTCAGTGTTCAAAACCCTAAGTGCTTTAACTTATCTTACAATAGATTACATTAAACACATATATGTGGCACCTATTGCTAAAATTAGAACGTTAGCTTCTTAGGAGTAAAAACTGTATCTTTTTCTTCCAAAGAACACTACTTTTTATATAATAGGAGCTTAAAATTATTGTTTGAGTTATTGGAGGGGAAAACTTGAAACTGGATATATTCTGTATCATGATAAAATCACCTTATCCCTCAGAAAAAGTACTTACAATAAATTTAAGGAATAGAAAGTGTCTGTTAGCAATGCCGAAAATCCAGATGTTAGCAATTACAACCATAAAGAGAAGGCTAACCTTTGCTTTGACAGAGAGAATGGAAAACACTTATCAAGCAGCAAAGTGATAGGGCTAAAGTTGAAAAGAGAAAATTTGAATTAAAACATAAAATTTAAAATTTTTCTTTCATCTCCAAAGTGGGCAGGGGGTAATCACAGTTCTTATAGGTAAGTAGCTGAAATACAGTTTATTACTTAAAATCAATATAAGAACAGACATTTTGGGGACTCTGAATAAGCAAAGGAACCAACCTCATTAATTCCTCCACTTTATCATCTACATCTAGGTCCTCTTCTGAGGCTTCAAAACTGTATGACCTCTGACCAATGCTGTTTACATGGTAGCGAGTCGGTGACATCTTTCCATTGGATGTGGACAATCGCTCGTTATTCTCCCTCCCATTTTGATTGGTAGTGCAAGGCTGTGGGGAGGTATCATAACTGTTGCTAGGTGATGGGGACATTCCTGAATGCTGGGTCTGTGTGGAAGCTGTAGCTGTAGAGGAAGATGCTGGAACATTGTTGGTACTATTCCCATATGAACTTCCTCCATAGCTGGACCTTCTTCCAAACTTGTCACTATGCTCTTGATCAAGACGGTCCAAAGTTTCCAAGGCATGGAGGATTTCATGTTTAGTCATTCCAGTACGCCGAAGGCGCTGAAGCAGATCTATCTGTTCTATGGTAAATCTGGGTTCATCTGTATAGTGAGACATGGTTTCCAACAAACTGAAAAAATAAAAATAAAAAAAATCAGTCCCTTTACTTACAATATCTATTAAAAAATCACTATAGAGAATGCCCAGAAGATGCTGTGCTTCTTCACTGAAAATGTTTAAGACATTACTATTATAATGACCCAAAATTTCCATTATGGCAGTAATACCAAAAAACAGATTAAGTAAATATACTATTAAATCCAGGCTATGTAATTACTCATAGGTATTTTTCCATCAAGTATACTATTCTGCATTAGAGTATTAATAGAAAGTTGCTGAAAAATAGATGTATGCTCTTGTTTTGCTAAATATCAACAAAACTGACCTAGGAACTCTCTAAATTCATTTACTGTAAACAAACTATTTGATATGCTAAACTCAAGCAAATACTAATAACCAGCAAAAATACTTACATAGAAAAGAGAGGTACCTAAAAAAAACTTACTAAGCACCATTTTACCAACTATATAGTAATTTCATACTTTATCTCTGTAATGCATTCTGTTGATATCCTGAGAAATGGATCGTTCATGGTTATAGCCAAACTGAACTATTCATTTTTCTCAGGAAATTGCTCCTACATTATGTTTTCTTTAACTAACACAAGATACTGTAGCCCATCAGAAAATGTTTCAGAGTTAATAACAATATAGTCATGTGCCACAGCACTGGTCAACAATGGACCACATATACAATAGTATCCCAGAAGATTATCACCTACTGACATCGTAGCCATGGTAATAGCCTTTATAATGTTGTGAAGCAATGCATTGCTCCTGTGTTTGTGGTGATGCTGTGCAAACAAACCTACTGCACTGCCAGTCGTATGAAAATGTAGCGATACAACTACGTACAGTAGATAATGCCTGATAATGATGATAAACAACCATGTTACTGAGTTGTGTATTTACTATATTTTATTATTTTATCATTATTTTAGAGCATACTCTTTCTACTGATAAAAAAAAAAGTTTGCTGTAAACAGTATGCAGTATTACCACGGCAGCAGCTTCATATATCTCACGTTTACAGTGTTTCTTGAATGCATCATTTTCTCTTGTGCTGTTTGTATAGTAATATGCTGTACAGGCTTGTAACCTAGGCATAATAAGCTATCCCATACAGCCTACGTGTATAGTAGGCTATACCATCTAGGTTTGTGTAAGTTCATTCTACAATATTCACATAACAATGAAATCGCCTAACAACAAATTTCTCAGAATGTATCTCCATAATTGGCGCATGACTTTTACAAGTTCAAGAGAGTTGTTAAGTATCATAAAAAAAAAAACAACACAAAAAACACCAAACCACGACTTTTCTATTTAACATTTTTTAAAGTGGTAATTTCTTCTATTTTTATTTTTATAATTCTAGTGACGAATTGTATACACAAGCTCTCAACTAAGTGTTTGCTGATAGAAATAAATGTCAAGACATTTTCTCATCCTTTCCAGGTAAACATACACTCTGGGCGAGGTCCGCTAAGCCACTGGAGATGTTCCTTCAACCCTCTACATTAAAAATTTTTTAAACATTCACATCTAAGAAGGCAATGAGCAAGAATTTCATATAATGTAATCTCACTTAATCCTTACAACAACCTTCTGTGATAGATTTTTTATTTTACTGTATATTGACTGATTGATTATTGAGGAAACGAAGGCTCAAAATGATTTGGAACCTTGTAAAAAGTCTGATTAAGAAGCAGAAGAAAGATTTAAATCTAGATCTTACTGACTCCAGTATCATACGTCATTCTGCTTTCCAATATAGGCACTTACTGGAATCATGATTTGGGATTTGGTTACTGTACTCTTTTAAGTCTCCAATTAAAACCACTTAGATAAAACTGCTCTACTAACAGACTAGGGGTTCTAGTAAGTTTTTTATATTTAAAATCATTGCTTCATCTAGAATTTATATTTACTTAATGTGAATGGATTTGAGCTTTATTTTTCCCCCAGAAAGGATAGCTGGTTGTCCAATATGCTTTACTGAGTAATATGTTTCTTTTCTCGTAACATATTACTTTTTATATACAAAATTTCCACACAAACTGTACCTAACTTTTAGATTCTCTATTATATTACATTGATTATTTTGTCTTTCAAATACTTCTAAAAATAAGCAGGCAGAAATCTAGAATTTTTATGTGAAATCATTCTAGTTTTAGAGATAGGCTCATTAAGATTAAAAACACACATATTTTGTGGATTCAAAAGAACATGTTTCAGGGCATTTGTGACCACAGCCACGGTATATGCTTTATACCTATACTAGAGGCCTGGTGCACAAAAATTTGTGCACTCGGGGGGGAAGGGGTCCCTCAGCCCGGCCTGTGCCCTCTCGCAGCCTGGGACCCCTCAGGGGATGACCACCTGCTGGCTTAGGCCCGCTCCCCCGGGGGGATTGGGCCTAAGAAATGTTCTGAAACAGAGCCACTGACCACATGGGCATGGAGCAGCTTGGGCCCTCGGAGCTCATCTCTCCAGCAGAACTGAAGGGAAGACCGTGTGTACCCTTCTGTCCCTCACCCTTCACATGCCCAGAACCATCTTTGTCACACTTCCTAATTCCTATCACTGTATTTCATTAGTGCCATACTGTTTTACTAATCATGAATCTAAACTGATTGGTTCAAAAGGAGATCCTTCTATTTTTAAAGTAGCTGGGCTTCTGGGGGCGGGCCTTGCCATGCAGCCCCGACCTGCTGATTTGCGGTTCCCAGGCTGCAAGGCAAGACTGGTTGCTGAGGCTTCTGGGGGCGGTCTCCACTGGGGTGCCTGGCCAGTCTGGGTGAGGGGTTGAGGGCTGTTTTTAGGCTGCCCGCACCCCTTTTAGGGTGGGGGTCCCCACTGGGGTGCCTGGCCAGCCTGGATGAGAGGCTGAGGGCCGTTTTCAGGCTGGTGGGCAACTGAAGCTCCCAGCCTCTCCTTTTTTTCTATTTTTGTTTTTTTTTTATTCTGGGATTTATTTACCTTCTGTAGCTGTCACTGGAGCGAGAGCCGGTTCCAGCTCTGAGGCCTGGCTCCAGCTCTGAGTCTGCGGCTGCTGAAAGCAGGTATCTGGGTTTGTTTAGCTTCTATAATTGAAACATTGTTATCACTGCCTGCTCTAGCTCTGAGGTCGAAGCTGAAAGCAGGTATCTGGAGCTTGTTTACCTTCTATAATTGTAACATTGTTTTTTAGACTGTAGCTTAGAGGCCGGCAGCGGCAGGCGTGGAACGTTGGCTTCCTCCATCACTGGAGCAAGCAAGCCTCCTGTTTGCTTCAGCTGCCTGGCTGCCAGCCGCCATCTTGGTTGGCAGTTAATTTGCATATCTCGCTGATTAGCCAATGGGAAGGGTAGCGAAATTACGGTTAATTACCATGTTTCTCTATTATTAGATAGGATACATTATCTTATGCATTCTTGAATAATCATAAAAGTCCTTATTTTCATGATTATTACATTCTTTCTTGATAGTCTAGGTTTTTTCCTCCAGCCAGCCTATATAATAAAGGTAATATGCAAATTGACCATTACTCCAACACACAAGATGGCCACCCCCATGTGGTCAAAGATGGCCAGCAGGGGAGGGCAGCTGTGGGCAATCAGGCCAGCAGGGGAGGGCAGTTATGGGCAACCAGGCCAGCAGAGAAGGGCAGTTAGGGGTGACTGGGCCAGCAGGGGAGGGCAGTTAGGGGTGACCCAGCCTGCAGGGGAGGGCAGTTGGGAGCGGCCAGGCCAGCAGAGGAGGGCAGTTAGGGGTGACTTGGTCTACAGAGGAGGGCAGTTGCAGGGGACCAGGCCTGCAAGGGAGGACAGTTCGGGGGGACCAGGACTGCAAAAGAGGGCAGTTAGGGGCAACCAGGCCTGCAGGGGAGGGCAGTTAGGGGCATCCGGGCCGGCAGGGGGGGCAGTTAGGGGCAATTGGGCCAGCAGGGGAGCAGTTAGGCATCAATCAGGCAGGCAGGGGAGTGGTTAGGGGGTGATCAGGCTGGCAGGCAGAAGCGGTGAGGGGCAATCAGGCAGGCAGGCAGTTGAGCGGTTGGGAGCCAGCAGTCCCGGATTGTGAGAGGGATGTCCGCCTGCTAGACATTCCCCGAGGGGTCCCAGCACCGGGCCACTAATTTTATAATAAAAAAATTATAAACATATAGACAAGTTTAAATATATTTATAGTGACCCTGTACACTAACCGCATAGATTTTACCATTAACACTTTACTTACTTTATCATATATCTATCCATTCCCTTATGCATCCATCCCTCTACTCATCTTATTTCTTTATGCATTTCAAAATCAGTTCTAGACATCTGTACACTTCTCCCCTAAATACTTCCACATGCAAATCATTGACTAGAGCTCAGTATTTGTTCAGGTTTCATTTATTTTGAGGTCAACTTTTCATAAAAGAAAACACACAAATCTATGTTTACGTATCTATGAGTTTTGAGAAGAAGGCACACATGTGAAATTCAAATCCCTACGGAAATACAGCATGCTGCCATCACTCCAGGAAGTTCCCTCGTTTCTTCCCTTTCCCTCAGTGGCAACCACTATTCAGATTTTTTTCCCCACCATGAATTTCTTTGGTCTGTTCTAGAAAACCATATAAATGGAATTTCTATGTACACTTTCATGTAAGGTTTCTTTCACTGAGCATAAAGTTTTTGAGATTTATCTATAATGTTGTATGTATCAATAGTTTGTTCCTTTTATTTCTGAGTAGTACTTCATTCTAGGAATATACACAGGTTTGTTTATCCACTCTATTTTAGACACTTGGACTATTTCCAATTACTAGCTATTCTAAATGCTTTGACTATTATAATTATACTCTACTAATTTTCTTGTTAACTTAATATATCCCCCTCTAATATATCATTAGCTACCCGGTTGGGTGAGAGAGAAAACTTTCAACCAGAGTAACTCATTTATTTTTTCTACTGACCAATTTCAAAAGAATATTACACCTTGCTTAAAACAAATAATAGGTTATTAAAATGTTCTGTGTTCTATG